AGCAATTAATTTAAAAATATGTAAGACAGAAAAAATTCATGCTATGAATTGTCCAAACCCGAGCTCCTGAACAAATTCATGAACTTTCAAACTGAACTTGAACCTGAACTGAACACATGTTGAAAGTTCAGTATCGAACTTGAACAAATTTTTGTTATAACTCCGTTCAGGTTAATAGGAACACTAGTAGTTAAAAATAAGTTAGTTTTGTGTTATAATTACAGCTATAAATTCTATATGTTTGCTATAAAAAATTTTATTGCAAAGCTTACTAACTATTGCAAAATGCACAGAATATGATTAAGGCTTAATTAGTTTGTATTAAATTTACAGTTATAAATTCTACAGAATTTCTATAAAAAAATTTTGTTACAAAGCTTGCAAGCTATCGTGATTTAGTATTAGAATTAAAGTTATAATTTCTATCAAAATCTACTGTAAAAATTTTATTAAAACTTGTTATTGCAGCATGTAGTTGAGTTAGTTTGTATTTGAATTGATTTTTGTTATGAATTACTATAAAAAATTATATCACAAAACTTACAATAACATACATTATTGGCTGCTTCGCAACCAATAACTATATACACAGGTCGAAAGATAAAAAATCAGGCACAAATCAGGTACCCGATTTTAAACTGATTACTACCTGATTACCACCTGATTTATGCATATTTTTGTACCAAATTTTTGGTACAAAAATATGCATAAATCAGGTGGTAATCAGGTAGTAATCAGTTTAAAATCGGGTACCTGATTTGTGCCTGATTTTTTATCTTTCGACCTGTGATAGTATGTGGTTGGATTAGTTTGTATTAGAATTAATAGTCGTGATTTTTATTGTAAAAACTTTTGTTACAAGACTTACTTGCTACTGTAATAATACACAGTATCTAAAGTTGAGTTAGCTTGTATTGAAATTGACAATCTCTATTATAATTACTTTAAAAACTTCCTTACAAATTTACTATGTGATTTCTATCATGATTTACTATAAAAATTTTGGTATAAAACTTGCTATTGTAATACAGTATGTAGTTGAGTTAGTTTGTATTGATTACCGTAAAAATTTTTGCTACAAAACTTACTAACTATTATGATGATTTTTTGAGTTAGTTTGTTGGAATTAGAGTTGGAATCTGTGAATATCCATGGTTAGAAATGAATATTCAATTATATAAAAGCAAATATCCTGTTACACAAAGTTCGTGAATTGTTGAGGATTAGTTTGTATTAGATTGCGAATATTCAATGAATACTTAAATTCGCGAATAGTCATGAATATTCGATAATACTAGATTAGAATTAATATAAACAGAATATTCAATGAATATCCGTAGATTTTCTTATGGGTATTAATGAATATTCACGTAAAATCCAGATATTCATTCAATACTATTCATGGATGACTAAAATCCGTGAATATTTATTGAATAGTCATGATGGATATTCAAAGGATCCCAGCTCTAGTTGGGATTAACATTTGTGATTTCTATTATGATTTACTTTACAAAATATATTGACTATTATAGTAACAAAAATATGGTTGAGGTTGAGTTAGCATCACGGCGAATTTATGAAATTTAGCTAAAATTTGGTCACCAAATCCGAGTATTTTGTTCCCAAAACTAAACTTTATTTACTAAATTACATATTAATAAATCAATACCAAACCCTGAAAAATTTTTTTGAATTTCTGTTCTAGACTGATAACGCGTCTAATCCATCTTCCCCACCTTTGTTAGACATATAAATTTATTATAATGACGCTCCCTAACCGATGTAAAAGATCAATGAAATGGTATTAGATAAAATTAGATCACATCAACGATAATTTAAAGCTCGGTACATTACTTTTCCCGAATCATGTACATATAGACCTTTATTCTTGTATTCAGACTTCGCTCTCACTAAATATCTTATTAATAAATATAATATTATAACTATTTGTATCCTCATATATATTTAGTTTTTGCCACTTTTGATAAAGCCTTAATAAAATCCTCTTTGTTAAGTCGTATATTCGACATAACCTTAATTCCCCAAATCACAAGTTTATAGTCTTCATACTATAGACATCACGTCCCTTGTATTCTTGAAGAGGTGAATTTCAAGTGTGACAAGATTATCTCAGCCAAAATCTATATTTACATATTAGTAGTCAAAATTTTCAATTCTCCGCAACGGTTTGAATTGGAATTAACAGTCATGATTTACTATCATGATACTCAATATTTGGTTGAGTCATGAAGATTGACACACGATATTGTAATTAAAATTTTGGGTTGAATTGTACAACCAGTCAAATGGTTAAAGTTCGCTAAGGGAAAACTTGTCATCGGAATTTCAATAATATTTTGTCTATGGAAAATCTATTATTATGATAGACGGCTAACTGTACACAAAATATTATTAAAAGTCGACAGGTTTTCCCTTGGCGGTATCACAACTACAACCATAACTATAACCATAACCATAACTATAACCATAACCATAACCAAGAGTATGCTTTTAAATCCGTGAAACATTCAATTGATTTTTTTAACCATTTTATTTCGCTTATGTTGTGAATATTATATAGTCAAGTGTCAAATACAAATTTGACAAATTGACATTTTAACAATTTTATGAGCGTTGTTCTATTGTGTTAAATTGGTTAAAAATAATGTATTTTTTCTTAGTTGTTTTAGTAATTAAATTTAATACAAGAATTGAGATGCATGGTTTGACTTATTTTTTGCTATGTAAACTTCAAAATTGTCTGCTTTGTAAATTATTAATGTCAATATTATCATTATATTCGTCAGTTTACTACTTAAAAACAAAAAAAAAAAAATCCAGTTAGAGTTTTCAACTTTATTACTTACTAAGCCTATTTCTAACAATTTTGCAATACTATTTTTTAGACTACAGTAGTTTGGTTGTTTTTTTAAAATTTTAAAATTATATATTTAGTGAACTTATTGTAATTATAATAAAATAAATAGCTTTTTTTACTTATATTTAATAAATTTGAAAACCAAACCTATTTGAATCCGATCACTATCAGCTATTTCGAATATACTCATGTGCGTTATTTCGAGGTAAAAGACAATTTCTTCTTTTTTTTATTAATTAAAAATATAAAAGACAATTTCTGAATTATATTACTACTATATCATTTTTCCTCGGTGGCACTCATACGTCCATGAGCGTTGTTTTAAAATCACACATGTAATTTTTAAAGGACCATACAGATATCTTTATTACAAGAATGAATTTGTGATTATAATATAATAAATTATTATTTTGCAATATCTCACTATCCATTGATTACAATTAGATAATTTATAAATCATTCTATCTTTTCATCAAAATGAATCTACAGTAATACTAAAATAATTAGACAGTATATTCGGGCATTGTTATGAAATAGATGAGTTTCATAATCGAATAACTGGAATGAATCAAATATCGTCCGAATTATCTTGACGGGGAGGGCCGAATATTGCCGAAATTATCCGCACGAGACATCACGATTCGTTACACCTATTTCGTCATAATACTTTGTTCTCCCTTATAACTGGACAACATATAGATTCCAAAATTACCCGATTCCGATCATTGAAACTACGAGATTTCACGATTCGTCACAATACCTATTATGTCATATCATAATATAGAGCGGATTGATATTAACGAACCCATTCAGAATTTTATTAGTTCACGCAATAAATTTGCTTAACTGGTGGTTAGACAACAATATAATTAATTAATTAATTAATTATCCAGTTTGTTAATTTTGTGCGATCAGGCAAACACACGCGATAAATAATTTATTTGTTTATCGGATATTAGGATGCACAATCTATTATTTAAAAACAAACGCACAGAATATGTGTGACATTCAAACTTATGCTAAGGTCAAATAATAATTCTCAATTTCTGCAGGTGACGTTGTGCAAACTATTAAAGTAATATAATTAAGGGATGCATTTTATAACCTAAAGGGGAAATACATTTGCATGGCAAAAACTTACAATTAATGAATTTTTTTATACATACGTACGTGCTTAACACTCGCTTAACGCATATACGTGTGTAGTGAATGCAATATACAAATATACCGGTACGTAGAATCTATAGTTTCAGCCCTTATGTCCAGAAAAGGATAATTTGATATTTGTTTTTTTTTTAGGCAATAATCGATCATTTGAACAAAGAATTCTACATGCAATAAATATAATCAAAATTTTCTAAACATTATTAGGTAAGGTCTGCATATTATAGTTTTCAATTCTTAAATACCTCGTGGCTGAGTAGATCAAAATATCATAGCTAAAATGATGGCGAATAGTAAAATTTGTTAAACGCTGGTCACCGATATTCGTGAGATTAGATCCTGCAAAATATTTCGGTTAAGAAATGTTCCATTAGAAGGTTGTAATTTTAACTCCTGATATTTTTCGTACAAATTAGTTTATATTGGTTTATTTAAACCCTTTTCGGCGATCCACACGCGTTCTGGCGTTAGATTATTATATAGCATTATAAATTATTACAAATTTTCTCCGATAAAGTTACAAAATTTCCTTTTATAAATATTTACTTCTCGGCTGTTCACGACAAATTAATTTTATGTCAAAAAAAAACATATTCAACCAATCAAAATTATGGTGCTTATTGAAGAAAAAAAAAAAGGTTTAAATTCTTCTGAAAGTACATTTACCTAATTTGGTTCTAAATATGCTTAAATTGGGCTAAAAAATAAGTATATATAATTAGCAATATAAATATTATTGTTTCGTTTAAGCTATGTCACTATCACTTATATCACATCATGCAGCTGTATAATCATCAAATTTTATTATATATAATGTATGCACGCTCCATCTTCTTTTCCTTCTTTATTACCTCCAATTTTATCAAATTATTTGATCGTAATTGATCAGGAGGACTTTTAGAAACCATCCTATTTTAACTATATTTTCTAAAAATATATAGTAATAATAATAATAACCATGACCGAAGAAATTAAAGAAAGTGTTTCCCAAGTTGTTAGTGACAATAATTATAATAATTATGATATAAAACGTCGCGAAGCTCTTGAAAAGATTGATAATGCTAAATTTGGATGGTTTCATATCAGAGCATGTATCGTATCTGGAGTAGGGTTTTTCACAGATGCCTACGATATTTTCGCTATCAATCTTGTAGCTGTCATGTTAGGCTACGTATATTTTGGAAAAAGTTCACTTCCAACTGATACTGATTTAGGTGTGAAAGTTGCAACACCAATTGGTACACTCATTGGCCAAATCTCTTTTGGAATATTAGCAGATATCCTAGGTCGCAAAAAGGTGAGAAATTATGAGAAATTATTTAATTTCGTTATAATTATTACTATTATTTTAATCAATCAATTTATTTTATTTATAGATGTATGGTGTCGAATTATTGGTCATAGTCTTCGCTACCTTTTCCTGTTGCCTCGTTGCAAATTCCTATGTTTTTTCACCTACTTTAAATACCTTTGTTGATAATTCTAAAGTCGTATCTGTTCAAGGCATTATCATATTTTGGCGTCTTATTTTGGGTATCGGCATTGGAGGAGATTACCCTCTTTCAGCAGGTAAGAAATTTCTAAAAAAAATTTTTTTTAAATGAGCTTATTTTCCTCATCCATCTCATGTGATTGTTTTTTTTTTTTTTTTTTTTAAAAAAAAAAAAGTTATTACTAGCGAATTCGCTACAACTTCAAGAAGAGGTGCTATGATGGCTGCCGTATTTGCCATGCAAGGTATCGGAATTTTGGTAGCAGCTATCGTTTCAACTATCACAATAGCAGCATTCCATTCTACTATTACACCAACTGATTTTTCACACATTGATTATGTGTGGAGAATTGTCACTGGAGTAGGTGCAATTCCAGGAGTTGTTGCCCTTTATTTCCGACTTACAATACCAGAAACACCTCGTTTTACCATGGATATTGAACGTAATGTCAATCAGGCAGCTCAAGATATCGACACAGTATTAACAACAGGTTCATATAAACCTCGTGAACAAGAAGTCGTCGTTAAAATTGAAGCACCAAAAGCTAGTTTTTCAGATTTCTTTAGACATTTTGGTAAATGGGAAAACGGAAAGGTTTTATTTGGAACAGCTTTTACATGGTTCGCACTTGATGTAGCTTTTTACGGTATCGGTCTAAATAACAATATTATTTTAAAACAAATTGGATTCCTTGGGGATGGTACAGATCCATATGAAACATTATTTAAAGCATCTGCTGGTAATATTATCATTGCATTATTGGGTACAGTACCTGGTTACTGGGTTACCGTATTTACCATTGACTTATGGGGTCGACGCCCAATTCAACTTATGGGATTTGCCTTGCTTACAGTAATATTTATTGTTCTCGGATTTGGTTATTATCCAATCTTGGGAGCATCTGTTGAACTTTTCATATTTATATTTACATTAGCACAAGTAAGTTTTATATTAAGTAAAATCATTACAATGTATAATTTATTGTATATATAATATTTATTAATAATGAAAAAATTTTGTTTTCGCAGTTCTTCTTTAATTTTGGACCTAACACCACTACATTCGTTATACCTGGTGAAATATTTCCAACTCGATACCGTTCAACTGGACACGGTATAAGCGCTGCATCAGGAAAATTAGGAGCTATTATTTCACAAGTTGGATTTTTCAAATTGAAAGATATTGGTGGTGCACCTGGTTCAAATGCATTCATCGACCATTTATTTAAAATATTTGCAGTTTTTATGCTTGCTGGCTTCATAGTCACTTACTTCTGCGTGCCAGAAACAAAGAATCAGTCATTAGAAAGTTTATCAAATGAAAATCAAGATGGATTTGTCAGAGATAAACGTTCGGCTGATGTTTAAAATGAATTATCTATCTACAATATTTATAATATAACTTGGACTTTTTTATGATTTAAAATTGATTATGTATTCATAATTTTATAACATTCCTATTTATCATTAAAAAACAAAAAATACATTTTCGGAAAAGTTTTACTAGCAAGTAGCAAGTTTGCAATATACGTAGCGTTAATTGTCACATTATCTTTTAGACCTAGTTTTTATTTTAGATATACATATTATATAATATATATTATAATGTACAAATAATGACATTTATCTACGTAGCAATCATATACATATATATATATATATACTATATAAATAAAATAAATATCGATATATTAAAACAAGTTAGAATTTTTGGTGATATTTACGTGAATTTTAAACAATTAATGTGAGATTTTTTTTCTACGTATTAAAATTACTTTATTTATAATTACCATAATTAGCAAACAGCGTAATCGAATTTCACAAATTGATAGGCATAACCAATTTAAAGTTATTTGCAATCAATGACGTATTTAACATTCATTATTTACGAAAAAAAAGGCTTGTACCGTATATCTCGGAAGAACAATTTAAAAGTCCGCAAATAAATATTCTTCTTTCGAAAATGAATTTTCCATCGCTAAATGAAAACCTAAAATAATAAAGATTTTCATAAATGATATATATAATATGATATTCCTGTCTTGTGATACAAAGCTTTAATTAATAATTTAATAATCTGTATTTACTGAAGATGCAGACATTAGTAACCTACGGCATAGCCGTTATATGACGTAAGTGGGCAGTTACCCTTGACCTCTGCATCTTACACATCTCCTGAACTTTTTTGCAAGATGTTATATTTAAGATTCTGCTGTTCACTAAAAAATTTTGCTACGGATACCATTCAGAAAACGAAAATAGTAGAACAAAGAAAACCCAATTTATCTTACTATGTAACTTATATTCAGAATATATTATTGTAAATCGCAATAGCTCCTGAATAAGGGGCGTTAAACCTATTTATAACAAATTCCCATACTCATTAAAGTTCGTACATACGTACACAAATACGTTATCTATCAGCTATACGCACTTTAAGTTCGTACGTACGTACGCACAAGTATGTATCTGTCATTTTTAGGGTTTTTTTCCGAACGGGTTTTAGAAGTACCGGATTATCCGGTTCAACGATTTTTATTTTCATTACTAATAAGGTAGAAAAACGAATTGAGATATCTCGCGATCCAGTGATCGATTTGAATAATGAATATATTTTTACCATCCTATTCATCTCAGTGAGAAAGGTTGAATGATATATCTTAGGAACCGGTAATTGGATTCGATTCCTTCCAGTGTTGGGGAAATGATGCAGACTCTGAATCTGATCACTCTTGTATAATGACATATTTCTTAGTTGAATTTGTTTAAGATAGTGAATTAGTTCTATGATAAGGACTGTAATCCGATTTGTTGTTTTTACGGAACTTGCATAGCGATAAAAATAGAGTTCTTTTCTACGCTAGAGGTTGGAACCGCCAAAAATCTTTCTAATCATTTAAAACATTTAAACGTTTAACTATAGATGCTGGTGAAATTAATTTCACCAATTTCACCAATAGTGGTAAAATTATTTTTACTCCGATTTTATTTCACCAGCATCTTTCTTTAATCTAATTTGATTCCTCATGATCTCTGAAGCTAGGTATGATACTAAATTTTTATTAAATTTAATGTCAAATGAATTAATGCCTTTGGAAAATCCTATTTATTCGAATGAATATGAATATGTTGATATGAATCAAGTAACCACAAACGATCA